ACCCTAAGGAATGTCATGCAAGACTTGTACCAGGTGTCCACACTGAGGAATGTCATGCAAGACTTGTACCAGATGTCCACACTGAGGAATGTCATGCAAGACTTGTAATAGGTGACCACACTGAGGAATGTCATGCAAGACCTGTACCAGATGTCCACACTGAGGAATGTCATGCAAGACTTGTACCAGGTGTCCACACTGAGGAATGTCATGCAAGACTTGTACCAGGTGTCCACACTGAGGAATGTCATGCCAGACTTGTACCAGGTGTCCACGCTGAGGAATGTCATGCAAGACTTGTACCAGGTGTCCACACTGAGGAATGTCATGCCAGACTTGTACCAGGTGTCCACACTGAGGAATGTCATGCCAGACCTGTACCAGGTGTCCACACTGAGGAATGTCATGCCAGACTTGTACCAGGTGACCACACTGAGGAATGTCATGCAAGACTTGTACCAGATGTCCACCCTGAGGAATGTCATGCAAGACTTGTACCAGGTGTCCACACTGAGGAATGTCATGCAAGACCTGTACCAGATGTCCACCGTGAGGAATGTCATGCAAGACTTGTACCAGGTGTCCACACTGAGGAATGTCATGCAAGACTTGTACCAGATGTCCACCCTGAGGAATGTCATGCAAGACTTGTACCAGATGTCCACCCTGAGGAATGTCATGCAAGACTTGTACCAGGTGTGCACACTGAGGAATGTCATGCCAGACCTGTACCAGATGTCCACACTGAGGAATGTCATGCAAGACTTGTACCAGATGTCCACCCTGAGGAATGTCATGCAAGACTTGTACCAGGTGTCCACACTGAGAAATGTCATTCCAGACCTGTACCAGGTGTCCACACTGAGAAATGTCATGCCAGACCTGTACCAGATGTCCACACTGAGGAATGTCATGCCAGACCTGTACCAGATGTCCACACTGAGGAATGTCATGCCAGACTTGTACCAGATGTCCACACTGAGGAATGTCATGCCAGACTTGTACCAGATGTCCACACTGAGGAATGTCATGCCAGACCTGTACCAGATGTCCACCCTGAGGAATGTCATGCAAGACTTGTACCAGGTGTCCACACTGAGGAATGTCATGCAAGACCTGTACCAGGTGTCCACACTGAGGAATGTCATGCAAGACTTGTACCAGGTGTCCACACTGAGGAATGTCATGCAAGACTTGTACCAGATGTCCACCCTGAGGAATGTCATGCCAGACCTGTACCAGATGTCCACCCTGAGGAATGTCATGCCAGACCTGTACCAGATGTCCACCCTGAGGAATGTCATGCAAGACTTGTACCAGATGTCCACCCTGAGAAATGTCATGCCAGACCTGTACCAGATGTCCACACTGAGGAATGTCATGCAAGACCTGTACCAGATGTCCACCCTGAGGAATGTCATGCAAGACCTGTACCAGATGTCCACCCTGAGGAATGTCATGCCAGACCTGTACCAGATGTCCACCCTGAGGAATGTCATGCCAGACCTGTACCAGATGTCCACCCTGAGGAATGTCATGCAAGACTTGTACCAGGTGTGCACACTGAGGAATGTCATGCCAGACCTGTACCAGATGTCCACACTGAGGAATGTCATGCAAGACTTGTACCAGATGTCCACCCTGAGGAATGTCATGCAAGACTTGTACCAGGTGTCCACACTGAGAAATGTCATGCCAGACCTGTACCAGGTGTCCACACTGAGGAATGTCATGCCAGACCTGTACCAGATGTCCACACTGAGGAATGTCATGCCAGACTTGTACCAGATGTCCACACTGAGGAATGTCATGCCAGACCTGTACCAGATGTCCACCCTGAGGAATGTCATGCAAGACTTGTACCAAGTGTCCACACTGAGGAATGTCATGCCAGACCTGTACCAGATGTCCACACTGAGGAATGTCACGCCAGACCTGTACCAGGTGTCCACACTGAGGAATGTCATGCCAGACCTGTACCAGATGTCCACCCTGAGGAATGTCATGCCAGACTTGTACCAGATGTCCACCCTGAGGAATGTCATGCAAGACCTGTGCCAGATGTCCACCCTGAGGAATGTCATGCAAGACCTGTGCCAGATGTCCACCCTGAGGAATGTCATGCAAGACCTGTGCCAGATGTCCACCCTGAGGAATGTCATTCAAGACTTGTACCAGATGTCCACCCTGAGGAATGTCATGCAAGACTTGTACCAGATGTCCACCCTGAGGAATGTCATGCCAGACCTGTACCAGATGTCCGTACTGAGGAATGTCAGTCATGCAAGACTTGTACCAGATGTCCACCCTGAGGAATGTCATGCAAGACTTGTACCAGGTGTCCACACTGAGGAATGTCATGCAAGACTTGTACCAGGTGTCCACACTGAGGAATGTCATGCAAGACTTGTATCAGGTGTGCACACTGAGGAATGTCATGCAAGACCTGTACCCAATGTCCACCCTGAGGAATGTCATGCAAGACCTGTACCAGGTGTGCACACTGAGGAATGTCATGCAAGACCTGTACCCGATGTCCACCCTGAGGAATGTTATGCAAGACTTGTACCAGATGTCCACCCTGAGGAATGTCATGCAAGACTTGTACCAGATGTCCACTCTGAGGAATGTCATGCAAGACTTGTACCAGGTGTCCACACTGAGGAATGTCATGCAAGACTTGTACCAGATGTCCACCCTGAGGAATGTCATGCAAGACTTGTACCAGATGTCCACCCTGAGGAATGTCATGCAAGACTTGTACCAGATGTCCACCCTGAGAAATGTCATGCAAGACCTGTACCAGGTGTGCACACTGAGGAATGTCATGCAAGACCTGTACCAGGTGTCCACACTGAGGAATGTCATGCAAGACCTGTACCAGGTGTCCACACTGAGGAATGTCATGCAAGACTTGTACCAGGTGTCCACACTGAGGAATGTCATGCAAGACTTGTATCAGGTGTCTACACTGAGGAATGTCATGCAAGACCTGTACCAGGTGTCCACACTGAGGAATGTCATGCAAGACTTGTACCAGGTGTCCACCCTGAGGAATGTCATTCCAGACTTGTACCAGATGTCCACCCTGAGGAATGTCATGCCAGACTTGTACCAGATGTCCACACTGAGGAATGTTATGCAAGACTTGTACCAGATGTCCACCCTGAGGAATGTCATGCAAGACTTGTACCAGATGTCCACACTGAGGAATGTCATGCAAGACTTGTACCAGATGTCCACCCTGAGGAATGTCATGCAAGACCTGAACCAGATGTCCACCCTGAGGAATGTCATGCAAGACTTGTACCAGATGTCCACACTGAGGAATGTCATGCCAGACCTGTACCAGGTGTCCACACTGAGGAATGTCATGCAAGATTTGTACCAGGTGACCACACTGAGGAATGTCATGCAAGATTTGTACCAGGTGTCCACACTGAGGAATGTCATGCAAGACTTGTACCAGATGTCCACACTGAGGAATGTCATGCAAGACTTGAACCAGGTGTCCACACTGAGGAATGTCATGCCAGACCTGTACCAGATGTCCACCCTGAGGAATGTCATGCCAGACTTGTACCAGATGTCCACAGTGAGAAATGTCATGCCAGACCTGTACCAGATGTCCACACTGAGGAATGTCATGCCAGACCTGTACCAGATGTCCACACTGAGGAATGTCATGCCAGACTTGTACCAGATGTCCACACTGAGGAATGTCATGCCAGACCTGTACCAGATGTCCACACTGAGGAATGTCATGCAAGACTTGTACCAGATGTCCACACTGAGGAATGTCATGCCAGACTTGTACCAGGTGTCCACACTGAGGAATGTCATGCAAGATTTGTACCAGGTGTCCACACTGAGGAATGTCATGCAAGATTTGTACCAGGTGTCCACACTGAGGAATGTCATGCCAGACTTGTACCAGATGTCCACACTGAGGGATGTCATGCCAGACTTGTACCAGATGTCCACACTGTACACAGTAGGTATCAAGCCATCAGACGGGCTCAACTGGTAGATGATCTCTCAGAGTTATTGATGTTTATATAAGCTAAGTATGCTGTATTTACTGGGGACATTTTGTTTTTCACATACACGTCTTCACTGGACTTTTTTTTGATAGTCCAGATTAATTCTTCTTAGCCCTATACACTGTTAGAAAGGAAAACATAGGCATCTAAATCTCTTGAGTTCTTGGATTAACTACAGTTGTCAGTAGAGTGAAAGAGAAGCCTCTCACAGGCCTCATGACTAACTTGTGATTACTGATGATAGTTTGTGTGTAACTGTTTATTACTGATGATAGTTTATGGGTGACTGTTTATTACTGATGATAGTTTATGGGTGACTGTTTATAACTGATAATAGTTTGTGGGTAACTGTTTATTACTGATGATAGTTTGTGGGTAACTGTTTATAACTGATGATAGTTTGTGGGTAACTGTTTATAACTGATGATAGTTTGTGGGTAACTGTTTATAACTGATGATAGTTTGTGGGTAACTGTTTATAACTGATGATAGTTTGTGGGTAACTGTTTATTCCTGATAATAGTTTGTGGGCAACTGTTTATTACTGATGATAGTTTGTGGGTAACTTTATAACTGATGATAGTTTGTGGGTAACTGTTTTTTTACTGATGATTGTTGGTGGCTAACTTTTTGTTTTTGGTGATTGTTTGTGTATAACTCTTTCAGACATGATAATTTATGGTTAAATGTTTCAAAATGATAATAGTTTTTGGCTAACTCTTTCAAAATGATGATAGTTTGTGGCTAACTCTTTCAGGCCAATGATAGTTTTTAGCTTACTCTTTCAAGCAGTTGATAGTTTGTGGCTAACTCTTTCATACTGAGGGTAGTTTGTGGCTAACTCTTTCAGGCTGATGATAGTTTATGTGTAACTTTCTCATACTTTGGGGGGGGGGGGGGAGGTGCCAGTAGTTGACCACTTATGAATTTATATGTAATTTACCTTTTTTCGTTCAGGTTTATAATGTACAAGATGGAATAGCAGCAGACAATACAGCCTCTAGTGAAGAGGGTGCACAGAAGAAGAGCTCAGATGAAGGGGACCAGAATAGACAGCAGCATGTAGAGGCGACTGGTGGAGCTTCAGCTGCCGGTCAGGTGGTATACAGTAAAACATTGAAGAGAACTTGGCATTACTTGCTCACTGACTGGAGTAGGCAGGTGAAACAATTACAGAAGGATCAATTGCCAGTTAATCTAGACAATATTGTGTCCAAAAAACTGTCCACAATGGTGGACTTGGTTCTAAGGCCCGTAGCTCCCCCAGAGTGGAGACATGCATGTCTAGTTGTGCTCCTGTCACAGGAAACAGATCAGGAACTCACTAGTAGAGTCTTAAACCACACTGTTGGGGACGCTTTGTGTCTGCCTCTGAAAGTTATCATTGACATTATCCAGACACTGACCACATCTTTTCAGACCCCATTGCGAGTAGATGCCAGGAAACAGCTGGTGACAACAACCATCAATCACAGGTACTGTGAGATCCCAGCCAAGTATATTGTGCTGTTCATGTACCAGATGGATGAACTGTTCAACATGAAGCTGATCTGTAAGCAGCAGTTCCACAAAGAGAAGCTAAGAAATCCCATTGTGCAGGGACATGAGTACATCAGTGGTGGCAAACATGACAAGACTTTGGTTGGAACAAACAGCCCTGCAAACGACGACTTGGGGGCCAAGGTTCTGGGTGGCGATAATGATGTTCCACATATCTTGAATATAGAGCACAGAGCAACAAGTATAGTTGATGATTTCAAAACCAAAGACTTGGCAAGAATGATGATACTTCTAGCAAAGTGGCGAAACCGAAATCAGACACTTATCAATGCTGTTGTTCATGGCCTGAGCCAAGCTGACTTCTCAGATTTTCATGTTGTGCAGCTGAGCAATCTGTTATTGTCCTTCTCTATGCTGAACATCTACAGCAACCCGGTTCTCAGGAACATAGTCTTACACTTAACACGAGAAACCCCGACTGCTCCATCACAGATCTGCACTGTGTTATCATCTCTGTCACATCTACGGTGGAACGATGAAGCTCTTGTTTCCAAATATCTGTGCTTCCTGGCTGATGACATCTGCAAGCTGACCGTGACAGATGCCCAAAGTCTCCTCACATCTCTGGCCAATCTGTACATTGTGCCCACAACTGATGCAGAGACCAGCTTGATTTTCAGTGAGTCTACTACCATCTTCACTTCTTGTCATCTGTGGTCTTTTTTTTTGTTTTTGTTTAACCAGAAAAGCTGGCTGGTTGTTAAGAATGTTGGGCTCTCATGCTCAGGACCAAGGTTTGAATCCCGGGTAAGGTGATTGATTTGTTCCTGTCTGTGGGAAGAGTGGGGACAGGGATGAACATCTTAACTTGCACAGTCCACGATGACTGCACTGGTTATATAGCTCGAAATCCTCGGGCTCAAGCCCTGCCCCCCCCCCTCTTCCATCCTACACTGCTCTAAACTGTGGCACACAGAGGCAAAAGCAACAGTTATTTTTTTTGTTAATCCAAAGGATATTTTCAGTCAGTCATGTTTTATTTACTAATCCGCCCCCCCCTCCTTTCCCTTACACTACCCCAGAATATGGTACATACAGGCAGTAACAACAATTATTAGAGTTGACCAGTGATTGGGTCAAGCTGACCAATGATTGGGTCAGTGATATTTAAAAAAAAAAATTCCAACATTATTTTATGGATTCAAATTTAAAAATAAATGTTGGTTTTTTATTTTATTGACTAGAAATCTAAAAAATGAATTTTGTGGATGTTTTTTAACAGTAGGAGCATTTGCTGTATGTCAGATGTTAGTGGCATTTACTGGACGTCACATTAATGTTAGTGGCATTAACTGGATGTCACATTAATGTTAGTGGCATTGATAATGTTAATGGTATTGACTGGATGTCAGATTAATGTTGGTGGCATTGACTGAATGTCAGATTGATGTGCGGTGGCATTGACTGGATGTCAGATTAATGTTGATGGCATTGACTGAATGTCAGATTGATGTGCGGTGGCATTGACTGGATGTCAGATTGATGTTGGTGGCATTGAGGAGATGTCAAATTGATGTTGATGGCATTGAGGAGATGTCAGATTGATGTTGATGGTATTGACTGGATGTCAGATTGATGTGCGGTGGCATTGAGGAGATGTCAGATTGATGTTGATGGCATTGAGGAGATGTCAGATTGATGTTGATGGTATTGACTGGATGTCAGATTGATGTTGGTGGCATTGACTGAATGTCAGATTGATGTGCGGTGGCATTGACTGGATGTCAGATTGATGTTGGTGGCATTGAGGAGATGTCAGATTGATGTTGATGGCATTGAGGAGATGTCAGATTGATGTTGATGGCATTGAGGAGATGTCAGATTGATGTTGATGGTATTGACTGGATGTCAGATTGATGTGCGGTGGCATTGAGGAGATGTCAGATTGATATTGATGGCATTGAGGAGATGTCAGATTGATGTTGATGGTATTGACTGGATGTCAGATTGATGTTGGTGGCATTGACTGAATGTCAGATTGATGTGCGGTGGCATTGACTGGATGTCAGATTGATGTTGGTGGCATTGAGGAGATGTCAGATTGATGTTGATGGCATTGAGGAGATGTCAGATTGATGTTGATGGTATTGACTGGATGTCAGATTGATGTGCGGTGGCATTGAGGAGATGTCAGATTGATGTTGATGGCATTGAGGAGATGTCAGATTGATGTTGATGGTATTGACTGGATGTCAGATTGATGTTGGTGGCATTGACTGAATGTCAGATTGATGTGCGGTGGCATTGACTGGATGTCAGATTGATGTTGATGGCATTGAGGAGATGTCAGATTGATGTTGGTGGCATTGACTGGATGTCAGACTGATGTTATCTATGAAATAATGTAATGGTGTCATGTATTTGACAGAAATAGCAAAAATAGCCTTCAGTGGAGACCTGACCCCTGCCAGTAAAGTCCATTGTGCCTGGTGTTTGGCTGTTCTGCTTTCCCTGAGTGCTGAAGTGGGGCAATCTTTGCTGCAGCCAGCATTTCTCAGTCAACTCTCAGGTAGGATACCGCTTTATGTTTGTGTGTCGTCTGAGAATGTGGGTCATCTCATTTCTATCTTCAGTGTTTCTGGCACTATGTCGGTATACAGTGATGCCGCCTCAGAGAAAACCTAGGGGTAGTATCGCAGGGGGCTTAACTCTTGTTAAACTGCACAACAAAAATAATTTTCATGATTATTGTATGCTGAATGGCAAACAATATGCTTGAAATAATATGAAGTGTATACACAAATAACTAAAAAGAGTAGTTCTCTGATGTTGTTCACAGTTGTTATATATTGTTACATGTTGTTTACATTTGTTATATATTGTTACATGTTGTTTACATTTGTTATATATTGTTACATGTTGTTTACATTTGTTATATATTGTTACATGTTGTTTACATTTTTTACATTTGTTAAATATTGTTACATGTTGTTTACATTTGTTATATATTGTTACATGTTGTTTACATTTGTTATATATTGTTACATGTTGTTTACATTTGTTATATATTGTTACATGTTGTTTACATTTTTTACATTTGTTAAATAGTGTTACATGTTGTTTACATTTGTTATATATTGTTACATGTTGTTTACATTTGTTATATATTGTTACATGTTGTTTACATTTGTTATATATTGTTACATGTTGTTTACATTTGTTAAATATTGTTACATGTTGTTTACATTTGTTATATATTGTTACATGTTGTTTACATTTGTTAAATATTGTTACATGTTGTTTACATTTGTTATATATTGTTACATGTTGTTTACATTTGTTAAATATTGTTACATGTTGTTTACATTTGTTAAATATTGGTACATGTTGTTTACATTTGTTAAATATTGTTACATGTTGTTTACATTTGTTAAATATTGTTACATGTTGTTCACAGTTGTTATGAGTTGAGCTGAGTTGTCAAGAATTGACATCACAGCACTGGGGGCATTCCCATGCATGCTGCTCTATCCTCATCTTCAGCAGCCAGCGCAGAGTTCCAATACTGATGGTACCGGTCACAATCTGGTTAAATGTCTGTCTTGCCTTTCCTCTGAGTGTAGTCAGCCGGCCAGACCCTTTGGTGCCTCATTCTCTCCAGGCCACAATAATATTCTTTCTCAACTGATTTTTTTTGCTTGTTCCCAAAGGGCCTTGACCACATCTACCTTGTCATGTATCAATTCACCACCCAGTGGTGCAGATCCAGCCAATCTGTCTGCCTGTTCATTACCCACCACGCTGGCATAGCCTGGAGAAAAGATCCAAAGTATGCTCACAACCTGTGACCTTTCCAGTGAATTTTGCCACTCTGCTTGAAGCATCCCTGTCTTCACCCATTTTCAGCATGCTTTCAGAGTCTGTTACACTTATGACATGTGTATGCATCTTGTTCTCTAGCCACCGGAGAGCTGCAGTTACCGCCTCCACCTCCATTCTCATGCTCGATGTTGTGGTGTCATATGCTAGGCTGTCTTGCACTAAAGATTTTCTATTGGCTTTTGTTACGAACCCCCAGGCACTTCTCTTTCCTCTCAGCACCAAACTATCTGTATAGATAATCAGATCACCTGGGCATGGTTTTGATTTGATGTGATTCAAGAACCGACATCACAGCACTCTGGGCATTCCCATAAGCGCTCCGTCCCCATCTTCGGCAGCCAGAGAAGAGTTCTGATACTAATGGTGCCAGTAGCATTCTGATTAAATGTCCGTCTTGCCTTTCCTCTGAACCTCGAGCATCTGCCAGAACCTCTCGTCACTTCCCCCTGCATCAGTCTCACCAGACTGTGGTGATCCATCTGCTCCTCCGAACTGTACACGCTCTCCCATAAAACACTAACTACCTCTGCCTTATCATGTATCAGTTTTCCACCAAGTTGTGCAGAGCCAGCCAGTCTTTCCATTTCTTCATTTCCTAACACACCTGCATGCCCCAGTGAAAAAATCCAGACAATACTCCTCACCCGTGTACTCTGCATGAAGCATGCCTGTTATGATCTTCCTCAGCATGCTTTCTGAGTCAGTTACAATCACATGTGTGTGTCATGTTCTCTAACCAGCAGAAAGCTGCAGTGACCGCCTCCACCTCCATTCTTAAGCTGGATGTTGTGGTATCATATGCTAGGCTCTCCTGCACCAAACGTAGACCATTAACTTTTGCTAAGAAACCCCAAGCACTTCTTGGACTTTTTGAACAGTCTGTGTAAATGATCAAATCCTCTGAGTGAGCATTATCTTGAATTAATTGCAGAATTTCCACCTCTGTGGCACCTGCTGGCCAGTCTCTGCATTCCTGACTCAGTGTGATTATGACCCAACACAATTGTGACTGTTCAGGTGGCACTTTGACCCACTCCTCTCCTTGCCTAATGTTCTCAAATATTCACCTTGACAGTTCACCTGGGCGTGAATTGTCGTGAATCAACTACTGGACTTTAACTTTTGTAGCACCCGCTGGCCACTCTCTGCACACCCGGCCCAATGTGATCATAACCCTACACAGCTCCGACTTTTCTGCTGGTACTCTGACCTACTTATCTCCTTGCCCAACGCTCTCCAGTATGCATACTTGTCTCTTTGTGTCTTTTGCTTGAGCCATCCACGATTTTCCCCATTTCAGCCTCTGACCCTTGCCTGCAGCTAAAGCTTCATACAGAGGGTGTTCCCTGTCTGCAGCTACTCTGAGAAATGACTTAGCCTGCAGCACCTTTAGCCTATCTGCAATAGTTGGCAATGCAAGGATGTATCACACGCACACAGTCGGGGTGTCTCCTTTGCAACCCAGGATCAGCCGCATAGCTTCATTCTGTATGCGCTCCAGTTTCTCTAGCTGACTCTTTGAGAAAGTGAGTAACCCCGATCCATAATTACTCACTGAGATGATTAAGTGCTGGTAAAGTGTGAACAGCATTCTCTGCTCCTTGTCCATTGCTGCCATAATCTTTAGTGCATTTAGAACTTTTTGAGCCCTTATTACAACCCCCCTCTATATATGATTCCTGAAAGAGAAACTTTTGTCAAAGGTGATTTCCAGGTACCGCAGTCTGCTGTCTCTTTTGACATCCCTGCCATTTATTTTGAGTCTTGGAACATCAGCTCTAATAATCCAGTTGTCCAAAGAACACCACAGGACGGTTGCCTTTTCTGGGTTGATTACAGCACTCATCTCTGTACACCAGTCGATCACCTTATCTACTGTTGCCTGTAACTCTTCAGCTGTTTGATTACTATCTCTCCCCTTCCTGTATACAAGAACATCATCTGTAAATGTCAATATTCTGCCAAACTCCAGGTGTTTCCAGGCAGGTAGTCTTGCAATCTTGTTGTTCACAGGTGTTATGTATTGTTACCTGTTTTTCACAGTTGTTATTGATTGTTAAATGTTGTTCATGGTTATTATATATGGTTACAGACAATTGGTGTGATAGGATCGACTCATTCTCATGTTCTTGAAACCAGTACATGTTTTATTTGCTGAATGTCGTATGGCAGTTTTGTCGCACACCTTTACTTGAGGATTATTTTCCAAAACCCCTCAGGTGCTCTGAGACAGGGGTCTTCTGAATGGTGGCTCTCGTTTGTCTAGAGGCCTAACCCTCGGTTCAAACTTCCATTCAGCCTATCTCAGGAATGAGGTGACTCGAGCTCTGACTCCACAGGGTTACTATGAACTCTTGGGTACCTCTCGGCCAGACATCCCCATTACTAAATTTGCCCCCAGACTGGTAAACAACGTAACACAGTCAAATATACAAGCCACAGTGAGTAGGACAAGACATGGACACCTTTCTGACTACGACAATTGATTCTGTTAAAACCAAACTTTTCTAAGAACAAGAAGTCTGATGAACTAAAACTCCAATGTAATAAATGCACTATAACAAGGCAGAAGAAAAGTGGCACAAACAATCAAAACGATTGTTCAAGTCTTTGAAGAATTGACACTAGAGAAAGAGTCTTTCTACATCGCCACATCCATTTCCATGATCATCCTTGCCTCGGAGAGCAGAGACAGACTACGAAGGCATATCTGGATTTAGGCCGCTAAAGTGATGTTGTCTTAGACTTATCTTGTCGGCTTCTACAGATCCTCCGGATGCCGGAAGGTAGACTTCTGCCACGTCTCGTTACTCAGAACGTCTCTGTACGATTAAGATGACCCCTGGGATTGATAGAATAATAATAAACTTCCCAGAGACTGGTGGGCCTGAACTTCAAACACAGTCGGACATATCAGGCAATGGCTGGTCAACACAGGTCGGTTTCTCACCAGGTGCTGGTTGGCGAGAGAACCTGACTACCACACTGATGCATGTTGGATCTTCCAATATCCTGAAATCAACAAGGCAACACACAAGAGCGAACCGCACCCAATGTACCCTGTTAATCATCCTCCTCACGCTCTCCACAAGCTCAGAGGTAAATGAGGGCTAGTCCAAACCTTGAAGGTTGACTATATATATCTTAGAACCCCCACAGTTTCCCAGAGTGAGCACGAGAGCCATACTTACATTTCTATCAACTCGAATAGTTTCTGAATCCAGTCTTGTAGCGAATGCCAGACAGATTCCTATCATTCCCCATCCCTCTAAATATACCCTTTTCCCTAGTTGGAAAGATAGGGTATAGGAGATGAAGACAAACCAAGATAGAAGAAATATGCTCCAAAAGCAATTCTAAAGCCCAAGCTTGTGGTTACAGTAGCTCCTAGCAACGGCGGATATGACCTCATGCTTTACCCGAAGCTCTCTCTCCTTTCCAACGGTCCAGCGACTCAACAAGTTCAGGGACCGAATAAAAGATAACTGATCATACTAGGTTAACAATACCATAAATACACTCCAGATAGGTGGATTGATTGATCCAAAGAGGTTTAGAAATCCGGCTCAAAGAATTCACGGAGAAATTTCAACCGAAAGTGCATTCCAACCAGGATTGCTATCTATCGTCTTTCATCGCAGGCGATCGTAGACAAACAGATTTGCATTATCAATCTGCCGACCTTTTCTTGCACACACACACAGGCACTGAGCACAAATATTCAATTAAATCCTTTTAGGAAAACTCACCCATGTCAATGGATAAAGAGAATAAAGAAGCTTGTCTTTTTAACGGTCAAGTGGCTACAACTTGAAACACGTCTGCACACTTGAACGGACTACGAAGAAGTGACGTATAAAATTATAATCCCTATCTACGACAGTTGGTGTGAGAATATGGCTCAAGTACACTGTGAAGCGGTCACACAATTAATCTTGAACGGGCGTAGAAAATGTGTCTTATCATGCAAATTGACACTATATGCTTAAAAGAAACAATCTAAGAGTGATTTATATAGATTTCTCACAGCTGGACTCCCCAACAACAACAGAACTATATAACTACGGACGGACCATCCGATATCATAGTTACATCAACAAATATGGGGGTGTCCAGACTGTGGGCCAGTCTATTGTGGTAGGTGTGTTGATTCTGTTATATGACACTGAACCATGTACATGTTTTATTTGTTCGACCCTGTACATGTTTTATTTACTGAACCATGTACATGTTTTATTTGTTGAACCATGTACATGTTTTATTTGTTGAACCATGTACATGTTTTATTTGTTGAACCATGTACATGTTTTATTTGTTCGACCCTGTACATGTTTTATTTGTTGAACCATGTACATGTTTTATTTGTTTGACCCTGTACATGTTTTATTTGTTGAACCATGTACATGTTTTATTTGTTCGACCCTGTACATGTTTTATTTGTTGAACCATTTACATGTTTTATTTGTTCGACCCTGTACATGTTTTATTTGTTGGACTATGTACATGTTTTATTTGTTGAACCATGTACATGTTTAATGTGTTGGAACTGCACATGTTTTATTTGTTGGACTATGTACATGTTTTATTTGTTGGAACCTGTACATGTTTTATGTGTTGGAACCTGTACATATTTTATTTGTTGGAACCTGTACATGTTTTATTTGTTGGAACCTGTACATGTTTTATGTGTTAGAACCTGTACATGTTATATGTGTTGGAACCTGTACATGTTTTATTTGTTAGAACCTGTACATGTTTTATATGTTGGAACCTGTACATGTTTTATGTGTTGGAACCTGTACATGTTTTATTTGTTAGAACCTGTACATGTTTTATATGTTGGAACCTGTACATGTTTTATATGTTGGAACATGTACAAGTTTGAATAATCAGTATTTTTGGTTGAGTTCTATGTTTGGATAACTCAGTATTTGTGGTTGAGTTCTATGTTTGTCAAGAGGGATGCACAGGTGCTGAACCACACATGATGGTATCGCAGGACAAGGACTGTTACTGATCAGGACCTGCTTACACCTGTCTTCACTTGCTTCCACCTCTCAAAACCTGCCTCCACCTCTCCACACCTGCTTCCACCTCTCCACACCTGCTTCCACCTCTCCACACCTGCCTACACCTGTCTGCACCTGCTTCCACCTCTCCACACCTGCCAACACCTGTCCTCACCTGCTTCCACCTCTCCACACCTGCCTACACCTGTCTGCACCTGCTTCCACCTCTCCACACCTGCCTCCACCTGTCCTCACCTGCTTCCACCTCTCCACACCTGCCTACATCTGTCCTCACCTGCTTCCACCTCTCCACACCTGCCTACATCTGTCCTAACCTGCTTCCACCTCTCCACACCTGCCAACACCTGTCCTCACCTGCTTTCACCTCTCCACACCTGCCTACACCTGTCTGCACCTGCTTCCACCTCTCCACACCTGCCAACACCTGTCCTCACCTGCTTCCACCTCTCCACACCTGCCTACACCTGTCTGCACCTGCTTCCACCTCTCCACACCTGCCTACACCTGTCTGCACCTGCTTCCACCTCTCCACACCTGCCTCCACCTGTTCTCACCTGCTTCCACCTCTCCACACCTGCCAACACCTGTCCTCACCTGCTTCCACCTCTCCACACCTGCCTACACCTGTCTGCACCTGCTTCCACCTCTCCACACCTGCCTCCACCTGTTCTCACCTGCTTCCACCTCTCCACACCTGCCTACACCTGTCCTCACCTACTTCCACCTCTCCACACCTGCCTACACCTGCTTCCACCTCTCCACACCTGCCTACACCTGTCCTCACCTGCTTCCACCTCTCCACACCTGCCTACATCTGTCCTAACCTGCTTCCACCTCTCCACACCTGCCTACACCTATCCTCACCTGCTTCCACCTCTCCACACCTGCCTCCACCTGTCTTCACCTGCTTCCACCTCTCCACACCTGGCTCCACCTGTTCTCACCTGCTTCCACCTCTCCACACCTGCCAACACCTGTCCTCACCTGCTTCCACCTCTCCACACCTGCCTACACCTGTCCTCACCAGCTTCCACCTCTCCACACCTGCCTACATCTGTCCTCACCTGCTTCCACCTCTCCACACCTGCCTACATCTGTCCTAACCTGCTTCCACCTCTCCACACCTGCCAACACCTGTCCTCACCTGCTTCCACCTCTCCACACCTGCCTACACCTATTCTCACCTGCTTCCACCTCTCCACATCTGCCAACACCTGTCCTCACCTGCTTCCACCTCTCCACACCTGCCAACACCTGTCCTCACCTGCTTCCACCTCTCCACACCTGCCTCCACCTGTCCTCACCTGCTCCACCTCTCCACACCTGCCAACACCTGTCTTCGCCTGCTTCCACCTCTCCACACCTGCCTACACCTGTCCTTACCTGACTCCATGGTCATCCTAAAAACAGATTCCCTTACCTATTGCCTGACAAGATGTGTAGACAGGATTGACATTTCACTTGAGCAAGGAACCACCAGTCTGCCCACAAAAAAGCCTGATCTGAAAAACAGATGTGCACGCAGCACTCCAGTTGTGGAACTAGACCAAAGTCCAGAAGTGGATTTCAGTCCTGATAGTTCTATTTGGTTTCAGTCATCTTCATGTGGGTTCCGGGGCCCATCGTGTGGGGAAACCAGAATAGACACACTGCTTCCCCAACAAGCATGTCCTACGAGTCAACTAATTAGGAGCTTCTTTCGAAGTCAGAGTATGTCTGCCCAAACAGCAAGGAACAACCAAGTGAACACAGATAAGCCTGTGAAACAGATGTACATGCATAGCTCAGGCTGTGACACGAAGCCAAAGTCCAATTGGACGAACAACCCTCACTTTCCGCCAGTGCTTACAGTCCCATGAACGAATAACCCTTACTTTCTGCCAGAGCTTACAGTCCCATGAACGAACAACCCTTACTTTCTGCCAGAGCTTACAGTCCCATGAACGAACAACCCTCACTTTTTGCCAGAGCTTACAGTCCCATGAACGAACAACCCTTACTTTCTGCCAGTGCTTACAGTCCCATGAATGAACAACCCTTACTTTCTGCCAGAGCTTACAGTCCCATAAACGAACAACCCTTACTTTCCGCCAGAGCTTACAGTCCCATGAACGAACAACCCTTACTTTCCGCCAGTGCTTACAGTCCCATGAATGAACATTCCTTACTTTCTGCCAGAGCTTACAGTCCCATGAACGAACAACCCTTACTTTCTGCCAGAGCTTACAGTCCCATGAACGAACAACCCTTACTTTCCGCCAGTGCTTACAGTCCCATGAATGAACAACCCTTACTTTCTGCCAGAGCTTACAGTCCCATGAACGAAAAAGAAGTCTTTAGTCAAGTTTATGTTGTGCTGAAAAAAAAAGAGGCAGAGAGAGAAAACGAGTGAATTAACAAATGAACCTTATTTTTAAAAAGTCACTAATTGGGCATACAGGCGTGTCTTACAATCAGCCCTTCCAAATGCCCACCTTTCATTCTGCACTTGTAATTTATCAGTAAAACATGTTTTTATCATGTAATAAAATTCATATTATGAAAATCAATAAAAACACAAAAGCATGGGTGGTCAAATGCATGCACACACACACACACACACATACGCCCTCATACACACCCACCAACTCACTTATTTACTTACACACACATACATACATGCATACACACACATTCACAAACACACACTCATACATACATAAATACATTCACATTCACACACAGACATACACATACATTCATGCATACATACATATGTGTTGTCTGACTCTTGCTGTTTGCCCATGATATAGCAGATGTTGATGATGCCCAGAAGCAGTCCAGCCTCCACAAGTTATGCTCAATCAGTACCGCACTTCAGTATGAGGTCAAAGATTACTCAAGGTCAGGGCTACTTTTACCTGAAGTTCCTGCCATGTCTCCAGCTGTGAGTAAACAGAGAATGTTTCTGTGAATGTCTCATACCTCTGTGACTCTCTCATACATGTCATTATGTTACTCTATCATACATGTTACCTCTGTGACCCTCATACTTCTGTGACTCTCTGATACATGTTACCTCTGTGACTCTCATACATGTTACCTCTATTACTCTCATACATGTTACCTCTATGACTCTCATACATGTTACCTCTGTGACTCTCATACATGTTACCTCTATGACTCTCATACATGTTACCTCTGTGACTCTCATACATGTTACCTCTGTGACTCTCATACATGTTACCTCTGTTACTCTCATACATGCTACCTCTATGACTCTCATACATGATACCTTTGTGACTTTTATACATGTTCCCTCTGTGATTCTCTCATACATGTTTACCTCTGTGACTTTCATACATGTTATATCTGTGACTCTCATACATGTTACCTCTGTGACTTTCATACATGTTATATCTGTGACTCTCATACATGTTACCTCTGTGACTCTCATACATGTTACCTCAGTGACTCTCATACATGCTACCTCTATGACTCTCTTACATGATACCTCTGTGACTCTTATACATGTTCCCTCTGTGATTCTCTCATACATGTTACCTCTGTGACTCTCTCATACATGCTACTTCTGTGACTCTCTGATACATGTTACCTCTGTGACTCTCATACATGTTACCTCTGTGACTCTCATAATGTTACCTCTGTGACTCTCATACATGTTACCTCTGTGACTCTCATACATGTTACCCCTGTGATTCTCTCATACATGTTACTTATGTGACTTTCTCATACATGTTACTTCTGTGACTCTCTCATACGTGTTACATCTGTGGCTCTCATACATGTTACCTTTGTGACATTCTCATACATGTTACATATGTGACTCTCTCATCCATGTTACCTCTGTGACTCTCTCATACATGTTACCTATGTGACTCTCTCATCCATGTTACCTCTGTGACTCTCTCATACATGTTACCTATGTGACTCTCTCATACATGTTACCTCTGTGACTCTCTCATACATGTTACCTCTGTGACTCTCTCATACATGTTACCTCTGTGACTCTCTCATACATGTTACCTCTGTGACTCTTTCATACATGTTACCTCTGTGACTCTCTCATACATGTTACTTCTGTGACTCTCTCATACGGGTTACATTTGTGGCTCTCATACATGTTACCTCTGTGACTCTCTCATACATGTTACCTCTGACTCTCTCATACATGTTACCTCTGTGACTCTCATACATGTTACCTCTGTGACTCTCATACATGTTACCTCTGTGACCCTCTCATACATGTTACCTCTATGACCCTCTCATACATGTTACCTCTATGACTCTCACATACATGTTACCTCTGTGACTCTCATACATGTTGCCTTTGTGACTCTCATACATGTTACCTCTGACTTTCACATACATGTGACCTGTGTGACTTTCACATACATGTTACCTCTGTGAATTTCACATACATGTGAACTGTGTGACTTTCACATACGTGTTACCTGTGTTACTTTCACATACATGTTATCTTCTGTGACTTTCACATACATGTTACCTGTGTTACTTTCTCCTACATGTTACCTGTGTTACTTTCTCCTACATGTTACCTGTGTTACTTTCTCCTACATGTTACCTGTGTTACTTTCTCCTACATGTTACCTGTGTTACTTTCTCCTACATGTTACCTGTGTTACTTTCTCCTACATGTTACCTGTGTTACTTTCTCCTACATGTTACCTGTGTTACTTTCTCCTACATGTTACCTGTGTTACTTTCTCCTACATGTTACCTGTGTTACTTTCTCCTACATGTTACCTGTGTTACTTTCTCCTACATGTTACCTGTGTTACTTTCTCCTACATGTTACCTGTGTTACTTTCTCCTACATGTTACCTGTGTTACTTTCTCCTACATGTTACCTGTGTTACTTTCTCCTACATGTTACCTGTGTTACTTTCTCCTACATGTTACCTGTGTTACTTTCTCCTACATGTTACCTGTGTTACTTTCTCCTACATGTTACCTGTGTTACTTTCTCCTACATGTTACCTGTGTTACTTTCTCCTACATGTTACCTGTGTTACTTTCTCCTACATGTTACCTGTGTTACTTTCTCCTACATGTTACCTGTGTTACTTTCTCCTACATGTTACCTGTGTTACTTTCTCATACATGTTACCTGTGTTACTTTCTCCTACATGTTACCTGTGTTACTTTCTCATACATGTTATCTTCTGTGACTTTCACATACATGTTACCTGTGTTTCTCCTACATGTTTACCTCAGTAACTGTCTCACACAAGTTACATTTGTTCAATTCTCCAGCAAGACAGGACCGGATGCTGTGACAGAGGCCAGATTTCTGAACTCAAGAAATGTCTGCAAAAGTTTGTGGATGTGACATCCTATGTCAGCTGGGGACAGACATTAATGGTTGGCCCGGCTGCAGGTATGTGACACTCTGTCTCCCAGGTATGTGACACTCTGTCTCCCAGGTATGTGACACTCTGTCTCCCAGGTATGTGACACTCTGTCTCCCAGGTATGTGACACTCTGTCTCCCAGGTATGTGACACTCTGTCTCCCAGGTATGTGACACTCTGTCTCCCAGGTATGTGACACTCTGTCTCCCAGGTATGTGACACTCTGTCTCCCAGGTATGTGACACTCTGTCTCCCAGGTATGTGACACTCTGTCTCCCAGGTATGTGACACTCTGTCTCCCAGGTATGTGACACTCTGTCTCCCAGGTATGTGACACTCTGTCTCCAGGAAGGCTACTCAGATCACCTGTGTACCTGCTTTATTCTCACACTTGTGTACATGCTCTATTCTCACACTTGTGTACATGCTTTATTCTCACACTTGTGTACATGCTTTATTCTTACACTTGTGTACATGCTTTATTCTCACACTTGTGTACATGCTTTATTCTTACACTTGTGTACATGCTTTATTCTCACACTTGTGTACATGCTTTATTCTCTCACTTGTGTACATGCTTTATTCTCACACTTGTGTACATGCTTTATTCTTACACTTGTGTACATGCTTTATTCTCACACTTGTGTACATGCTCTATTCTCACACTTGTGTACATGCTCTATTCTCACACTTGTGTACATACTTTATTCTCTCCCTTGTGTACATGCTCTATTCTCACACTTGTGTACATGCTTTATTCTCTCCCTTGTGTACATGCTCTATTCTCACACTTGTGTACACACTTATTTCTCACACTTGTGTATATGCTCTATTCTCACACTTGTGTACATGCTTTAATCTCACACTTGTGTACATGCTTTAATCTCACACTTGTGTACATGCTTTATTCTTACACTTGTGTACATGCTCTATTCTCACACTTGTGTACATGCTTTATTCTTACACTTGTGTACATGCTTTATTCTTACACTTGTGTACATGCTTTATTCTCACACTTGTGTACATGCTTTATTCTTACACTTGTGTACATGCTCTATTCTCACACTTGTGTACATGCTTTAATCTCACACTTGTGTACATGCTTTATTCTTACACTTGTGTACATGCTCTATTCTCACACTTGTGTACATGCTTTATTCTCACACTTGTGTACATGCTTTAATCTCACACTTGTGTACATGCTCTATTCTCACACTTGTGTACATGCTTTATTCTTACACTTGTGTACATGCTCTATTCTTACACTTGTGTACATGCTTTATTCTTACACTTGTGTACATGCTTTATTCTTACACTTGTGTACATGCTTTATTCTTACACTTGTGTACATGCTTCATTCTTACACTTGTGTACATGCTTTATTCATACACTTGTGTACATGCTTTAATCTCACACTTGTGTACATGCTTTATTCTTACACTTGTGTACATGCTTTATTCTCACACTTGTGTACATGCTTTATTCTTACACTTGTGTACATGCTTTATTCTTACACTTGTGTACATGCTTTATTCTCACACTTGTGTACATGCTCTATTCTCACACTTGTGTACATGCTCTATTCTCACACTTGTGTACATACTTTATTCTCTCCCTTGTGTACATGCTCTATTCTCACACTTGTGTACATGCTTTATTCTCTCCCTTGTGTACATGCTCTATTCTCACACTTGTGTACACACTTATTTCTCACACTTGTGTATATGCTCTATTCTCACACTTGTGTACATGCTTTAATCTCACACTTGTGTACATGCTTTAATCTCACACTTGTGTACATACTTTATTCTTACACTTGTGTACATGCTCTATTCTCACACTTGTGTACATGCTTTATTCTTACACTTGTGTGCATGCTTTATTCTTACACTTGTGTACATGCTTTATTCTCACACTTGTGTACATGCTTTATTCTTACACTTGTGTACATGCTTTATTCTTACACTTGTGTACATGCTCTATTCTCACACTTGTGTACATGCTTTAATCTCACACTTGTGTACATGCTTTATTCTTACACTTGTGTACATGCTCTATTCTCACACTTGTGTACATGCTTTTTTCTCACACTTGTGTACATGCTTTAATCTCACACTTGTGTACATGCTCTATTCTCACACTTGTGTACATGCTTTATTCTTACACTTGTGTACATGCTCTATTCTTACACTTGTGTACATGCTTTATTCTTACACTTGTGTACATGCTTTATTCTTACACTTGTGTACATGCTTTATTCTTACACTTGTGTACATGCTTTATTCATACACTTGTGTACATGCTTTAATCTCACACTTGTGTACATGCTTTATTCTTACACTTGTGTACATGCTTTATTCTCACACTTGTGTACATGCTTTATTCTTACACTTGTGTACATGCTTTATTCTTACACTTGTGTACATGCTTTATTCTCACACTTGTGTACATGCTCTATTCTCACACTTGTGTGCATGCTCTATTCTCACACTTGTGTGCATGCTCTATTCTCACACTTGTGTACATGCTCTATTCTCACACTTGTGTACATGCTCTATTCTCACACCTGTGTACATGCTTTATTCTTACACTTGTGTGCATGCTTATTCTCAATGTACATATCTGCTCATTCTCTGTGTACATATTGTCATTCATTCTTTGTGTACATGTTATCTGCTCATTCTCTGTGTACATATTGTCATTCATTCTTTGTGTACATGTTATCTGCTCATTCTCTGTGTACACATTGTTATTTGTTCTTTGTGTACACGTTATCTGCTCGTTCTCTGTGTACATATTGTTATTTGGTCTTTGTCTACATGTTATCTGCTCATTCTCTGTTCATAGCTCCTCATTCTCTGTGTAAATATTGTCATTCATTCTTTATGTACATGTTATCTGCTTTTTCTCTGTACATATTTTCATTCATTCTTTGTGTATATTTTATCTGCTCATTCTCTGTGAACATGTAGTCTGCTCATTCTCTGTTTACATATTGTCATTCATTCATTGTACATATCTGATCATTTTCTATGTACAAATTGTCACTCTTTCTTTGTGTAAATGTTATTTGCTCATTCTCTGTGTAAATATCAGCTTATTCTATGTGTTCATATCTGCTCATTCTTTGTACACATCTGCTAACTTTCTGTGTACATGTTATCTGCTCATTTCATGTGTACACATTGTCACTCATTCTTTGTGTACATGTTATCTGCTTATTCTCTGTGTACATATTTTCACTCATTCTTTGTGTAAATTTTATCTACCCATTCTCTGTTTACATATTGTCTCTCATTCTCTATGTACATATTGTCACTCATTCTTTGTGTACATGTTATGTGCTCATTTTCTGTGAACATTTTACTAACTTTGTATCCTTAGATGTAGTGATATGAGAAAATTTTGCGTAGTCTCGGATGCAGTGATGTGTGACAATGTCTGATCTTCAGATGCAGTGATGTGTGACAGTGTCTGATCCTGAGATGCAGTGATGTGTGACAGTGTTTGATCCTCAGATGCAGTGATGTGTTGTGACAGTTTTTGATCCTCAGATGCAGTGATGTGTGACAGCGTATGATCCTCAGATGCAGTGATGTGTGACAGTGTTTGATCCTCAGATGCAGTGATGTGTGACAGTGTTTGATCCTCAGATGCAGTGATGTGTGACAGTGTTTGATCCTCAGATGCAGTGATGTGTGACAGTGTTTGATCCTCAGATGCAGTGATGTGTGACAGTGTTTGATCCTCAGATGCATGACAATGTCTGATCCTTAGATGCAGTGATGTGTGACAGTGTTTGATCCTCAGATGCAGTGATGTGTGACAGTGTTTGATCCTCAGATGCGGTGATGTGTGACAGTGTTTGATCCTCAGATGCATGACAATGTCTGATCCTCAGATGTGTGACAGTGTCTGATCCTCAGATGTGTGACAGTGTCTGATCCTCAGATGTGTGACAATGTCTGATCCTTAGATGCGGTGATGTGTGACAGTTTTTGATCCTCAGATGCAGTGATGTGTGACAGTTTTTGATCCTCAGATGCAGTGATGTGTGACAGTTTTTGATCCTGAGATGCGGTGATGTGTGACAGTGTATGATCCTCAGATGCATGACAATGTCTGATCCTCATATGTGTGACCGTGTCTGATTCTCAGATGCAGTGATGTGTGACAGTTTTTGATCCTCAGATGCGGTGATGTGTGACAGTGTCTGATCCTCAGATGTGTGACAGTGTCTGATCCTCAGATGTGTGACAGTGTCTGATCCTCAGATGTGTGACAGTGTCTGATCCTCAGATGTGTGACAGTGTCTGATCCTCAGATGTGTGACAGTGTCTGATCCTCAGATGTGTGACAGTGTCTGATCCTCAGATGTGTGACAGTGTCTGATCCTTAGATGCGTGACAATGTCTGATCCTCAGATGTGTGACAGTGTCTGATCCTCAGATGTGTGACAGTGTCTGATCCTCAGATGTGTGACAGTGTCTGATCCTCAGATGTGTGACAATGTCTGATCCTTAGATGCGGTGATGAGTGACAGTGTCTGATCTTCAGATACAGTGAAGTGTGACAGTGTCTGATCCTCAGATGCGGTGATGTGTGACAGTGTCTGATCCTCAGATGCTGTGATGTGTGACAATGTCTGATCCTCAGGTGCGGTGATGTGTGACAGTGTCTGATCCTCAGATGCGGTGATGTGTGACAGTGTCTGATCCTCAGATGCAGTGATGTGTGACAGTGTCTGATCCTCAGATGCGGTGATGTGTGACAGTGTCTGATCCTCAGATGCAGTGATGTGTGACAGTGTGTGATCCTCAGATGCGGTGATGTGTGACAATGTCTGATCCTCAGGTGCGGTGATGTGTGACAGTGTCTGATCCTCAGATGCGGTAACGAGTGACAGTGTCTGGTCCTCAGGTGCGGTGATGTGTGACAGTGTCTGATCCTCAGATGCGGTGATGTGGGACAGTGTCTGATCCTCAGATGCAGTGATGTGTGACAGTGTCTGATCCTCAGATGCGGTGATGTGTGACAATGTCTGATCCTCAGGTGCGGTGATGTGTGACAGTGTCTGATCCTCAGATGCGGTAATGAGTGACAGTGTCTGGTCCTCAGGTGCGGTGATGTGTGACAGTGTCTGATCCTCAGATGCGGTGATGTGTGACAGTGTCTGATCCTCAGATGTGTGACAATGTCTGATCCTTAGATGCGGTTATGTGTGACAATGTCTGATCCTCAGATGTGTGACAATGTCTGATCCTCAGATGCTGTGATGTGTGCAGACATGTCTGGTGATCTGAGACCGCTAAATACGATAGAAGATGAGAACATTTACAAGTAAGCAAACAGAGAGTGTTTCATCTTTCTGACTTCTCTTTATCAGGATTAATTTGACTTGCCATCTTCTGTTGATCGGCCCCGTTCCACAAACAAGCCTCTATATTGTACTGACACGATTTTTAATTTATAAATTTGCATTTAATCTCACATTTAAAAGAATATGTCTGTTTGAAACTTTTGACAAGATTTCATCAAAGTGTGACGTCATCAGTTTCTGCATCTGCATGAAATAAATCTGATTGTTGATTAAGATGTTACACATTGCGATGATTTTCTTTTATCTTCTATCTGGCTCGCATCATCGCACGCTTGCTGCTATCTCACAAACCGACATCACACGACGAGCAGAAAATGGAAAAACAACACGATACTGTTCCAGCACTTTAATCTTCCACTCACGGCTTACACAGCCGGTACATGAAATAGACAACTGTCCAGGCACACATTATAACTCAACTATCAACACTTCAATTATTACCTTTAAGCAGAAATCACAATCGTCCTACACTAACATCGTGAACGAAAACACAACAGCTGTCCTGACAGAAAAACTCAGGCGGCCCGCAGACATATTGCTTGCCAGCTTTTTTCGCCAAGTTGGACTGGAACAAATTCACTCAAAACATCTGTTGAATCCACACATCATCCACCGCTGTCCATGCACTCTGTTCCTGGGTCCAAACGAGACTGACTCCCAGCCCTTTTCACGATATTATATAGCCTTCTAATCCCCGCTTCGTTTTTCCTGAATATTCCGTGCTCCTTCAGTTTCACGGCAGTCGTGTTTCATCATACTTCGCATGAAGTTCGACAGTCAACATTTCTCTTCACGTGAATAATTATACTCCACATAAAGTTTGACTATCAGCATTTCTTTATAATTCCCGTGAAGTTCAGACTCAATAATCCCCGTGCCGTCCCAGTTAGAGTCAAAATATTCCACTCACATTTATTACTGACGTCATCTGTCGGGCATAAATTAACTGGGAGAAAATGAGATTCACTACACACATAGTCAGGAATTTATGATTGGAGCAAGAATCTGCTATCAGATAGAAATGAAAACTTACCAGTTCATAGCAGATACCTTGTCTTGTCAGCATTTACAGTGATATGATGGCTAGAAACATCAACTATAATGAATGTTAAATCAGATGGCAACATAGAAATATTTGGGATATAGTGATGACACAGTTTTAATAGCAGATTCTGAGAGAGGGGGAGGGAGAGAGTAGTTTTCAGACTTTTCTGGACAGAGAGCTAGTGAGCAAGAACAGTTGTCATAAAATGTTAGCAACACTGGACACAGAGCTGGTGAGCAAGAACAGTTGTCATGAAATGTTAGCAACACTGGACACAGAGCTGGTGAGCAAGAACAGTTGTCATGAAATGTTAGCAACACTGGACACAGGGCTGGTGAGCAAGAACAGTTAGCAACACTGGACACAGAGCTGGTGAGCAAGAACAGTTGTCATGAAATGTTAGCAACACTAGACACAGAGCTGGTGAGCAAGAACAGTTGTCATGAAATGTTAGCAACACTGGACACAGAGCTGGTGAGCAAGAACAGTTAGCAACACTGGACACAGAGCTGGTGAGCAAGAACAGTTGTCATGAAATGTTAGCAACACTAGACACAGAGCTGGTGAGCAAGAACAGTTGTCATGAAATGTTAGCAACACTGGACACAGAGCTGGTGAGCAAGAACAGTTGTTATGAAATGTTAGCAACACTGGACACAGAGCTGGTGAGCAAGAACAGTTGTTATGAAATGTTAGCAACACTGGACACAGAGCTGGTGAGCAAGAACAGTTGTCATGAAATGTTAGCAACACTGGACACAGAGCTGGTGAGCAAGAACAGTTGTCATGAAATGTTAGCAACACTGGACACAGAGCTGGTGAGCAAGAACAGTTAGCAACACTGGACACAGAGCTGGTGAGCAAGAACAGTTGTCATGAAATGTTAGCAACACTAGACACAGAGCTGGTGAGCAAGAACAGATGTCATGAAATGTTAGCAACACTGGACACAGAGCTAGTGAGCAAGAACAGTTGTCATGAAATGTTAGCAACACTGGACACAGAGCTGGTGAGCAAGAACAGTTGTTATGAAATGTTACCAACACTGGACACAGAGCTGGTGAGCAAGAACAGTTGTCATGAAATGTTAGCAACACTGGACACAGAGCTGGTGAGCAAGAACAGTTAGCAACACTAGGCAGAGAGCTGGTGAGCAACAACAGTTAACAACACTGGACAGAGAGCTGGTGAGCAAGAACAGTTGTCATGAAATGTTACCAACACTGGACACAGAGCTGGTGAGCAAGAACAGTTGTCATGAAATGTTAGCAACACTGGACACAGAGCTGGTGAGCAAGAACAGTTAGCAACACTAGGCAGAGAGCTGGTGAGCAACAACAGTTAGCAACACTGGACACAGAGCTGGTGAGCAAGAACAGTTAGCAACACTAGGCAGAGAGCTGGTGAGCAAGAACAGTTGTCATGAAATGTTACCAACACTGGACACAGAGCTGGTGAGCAAGAACAGATGTCATGAAATGTTAGCAACACTGGACAGAGAGCTGGTGAGCAGGAAAAGTTAGCAACACTGGACACAGAGCTAGTGAGCAAGAACAGTTGTTATGAAATGTTAGCAACACTGGACACAGAGCTGGTGAGCAAGAACAGTTGTTATGAAATGTTAGCAACACTGGACACAGAGCTGGTGAGCAAGAACAGTTGTTATGAAATGTTAGCAACACTGGACAGAGAGCTAGTGAGCAAGAACAGTTGTCATGAAATGTTAGCAACACTGGACACAGAGCTGGTGAGCAAGAACAGTTAGCAACACTGGACAGAGAGCTAGTGAGCAAGAACAGTTAGCAACACTGGACACAGAGCTGGTGAGCAAGAACAGTTAGCAACACTGGACACAGAGCTAGTGAGCAAGAACAGTTAGCAACACTGGACAGAGAGCTGGTGAGCAAGAACAGTTGTCATGAAATATTAGCAACACTGGACACAGAGCTGGTGAGCAAGAACAGTTAGCAACACTGGACAGAGAGCTGGTGAGCAAGAACAGTTGTTATGAAATGTTAGCAACACTGGACACAGAGCTGGTGAGCAAGAACAGTTAGCAACACTGGACAGAGAGCTGGTGAGCAAAAACAGTTAGCAACACTGGACAGAGAGCTAGTGAGCAAGAACAGTTAGCAACACTGGACAGAGAGCTAGTGAGCAAGAAAAGTTAGCAACACTGGACAGAGAGCTGGTGAGCAAGAACAGTTAGCAACACTGGACAGAGAGCTGGTGAGCAAGAACAGTTGTCATGAAATGTTAGCAACACTGGACACAGAGCTGGTGAGCAAGAACAGTTGTCATGAAATGTTAGCAACACTGGACAGAGAGCTGGTGAGCAACAACAGTTAACAACACTGGACAGAGAGCTGGTGAGCAACAACAGTTAACAACACTGGACAGAGAGATGGTGAGCAACAACAGTTAACAACACTGGACAGAGAGCTAGTGAGCAAGAACAGTTGTCATGAAATGTTAGCAACACTGGGTGAAGTAGCTAGTTCCAGGCAAGCACAGATTCAGAGCTTCCTCTACTGCTCTTTAGGCCTGCAGTAAACTCATGCCAAATCCTTTCTAGACTTGCTGATGATTGTTAAAAAAAAGGGGGGGGGGTGGTTTACAGTTTGGGTTTTGCCTGAAATCATTCAGTGGCCTTACTGGCTCTGATAACATGCATTATAGCTGACAGTGTTATTGTTTGTTGAATTATTTAAGGGCTACGATATGGCACAGGCAGGATTCCAGTATGATATATGAAATGTATTCCAATGGTTTTATTGCTCAGGAAAGATTCCAGTATTCTATAAATGAAACCCATTCTGATTTTGTTTGATTGCAAAGGAGAGATTCCAGTATGCTATATATGAAACCCATTATGATGGTTTTATTGCACCAGAGAGATTCCAGTATTCTATAAATGAAACCCATTCTGATTTTTTTTTATGGCAAAGGAGAGATTCCAGTATGCTATATATGAAACCCATTATGATGGTTCTATTGCACCGGAGAGATTCCAGTATTCTATAAATGAAACCCATTCTGATTTTGTTTTATTGCAAAGGAGAGATTCCAGTATGCTATATATGAAACCCATTCTGATGGTTTTATTGCAAAGGAGAGATTCCAGAATGCTATATACAAAACCCATTCTGATAATTCTATTGCACTGGAGAGATTCCAGTATCCTATATATAACATATGAACAGACAGTTGCCTGTGGTCATTCTTGTGTAGTAGAGCTATTTATGACTGTGGTATGGAACCTGATGTCTCCTGTGTGTAAACAGACAGTTGCCTGTAGCGTTTAGAAGAGCAGCATTGTAAAGTTACATGTGGTTCAGTGTGCATTATATTACATGAATGTCTTGTCATTTGGTATTTAGGCTGGCCATTCAGTTGGTTCCATTCTCTGGGGTTCTCTGTGTCACTGGGTCGCCCTGTGGATCATACAGCATGGCCGCCCGGCACTGGAAACATCTCGGATATGTGCCAGTTCAGGTATTATCTGTGCTGCAACTGTTGCCGTCACATCCATTGTTCCTGTTATTCTGTGTTGTATAAGCATCTCATCATTCTCTGTGTTCTGATGTGCTTTTATAAGTCTCTGTGTTGTGTTGTACTCTCATCATTCTTTATGTTGTCCTCTTATTGTTCTGTGTTGTGCTCTCATCATTCTTTATGTTGTCCTCTTATTGTTCTGTGTTGTGCTCTCATCATTCTTTATGTTGTCCTCTTATTGTTCTGTGTTGTACTCTCATCATTCTTTATGTTGTCCTCTTATTGTTCTGTGTTGTACTCTCATCATTCTTTTTGTTGTCCTCTTATTGTTCTGTGTTGTACTCTCATCATTCTTTATGTTGTCCTCTTATTGTTCTGTGTTGTGCTCTCATCATTCTTTATGTTGTCCTCTTATTGTTCTGTGTTGTGCTCTCATCATTCTTTTTGTTGTCCTCTTATTGTTCTGTGTTGTGCTCTCATCATTCTTTATGTTGTCCTCTTATTGTTCTGTGTTGTGCTCTCATCATTCTTTATGTTGTCCTCTTATTGTTCTGTGTTGTGCTCTCATCATTCTTTATGTTGTCCTCTTATTGTTCTGTGTTGTGCTCTCATCATTCTTTATGTTGTCCTCTTATTGTTCTGTGTTGTGCTCTCATCATTCTTTATGTTGTCCTCTTATTGTTCTGTGTTGTACTCTCATCATTCTTTATGTTGTCCTCTTATTGTTCTGTGTTGTGCTCCCATCATTCTTTATGTTGTCCTCTTACTGTTCTGTGTTGTGCTCTCATCATTCTTTATGTTGTCCTCTTATTGTTCTGTGTTGTGCTCTCATCATTCTTTATGTTGTCCTCTTATTGTTCTGTGTTGTGCTCTCATAATTCTATGTGTTGTCCTCTTATCATTCTGTGTTGTGTAACTATCTCATCATTCTATTTGTTGTGTTGTGCACTTATCCTTCTCTTTGTTGTTGTGTCCTCTTATCATTCTGTGTGTTGTGTTGTGTAACCATTTCATCATTCATTGTGTTGTATTGTGCTCTTATCATTCTCTGTGTTGTGTTGTCCTTTAATCATTCTCTGTGTTGTGTTGTCCTCTAATCATTCTCTGTATTGTGCTCTCATCATTCTATGTTTTGTGTTGTCATCTCATCATTCTCTGTGTTGTGTTGTCATCTAATCATTCTCTGTGTTGTGTTGTCATCTAATCATTCTCTGTGTTGTGTTGTCATCTAATCATTCTCTGTGTTGTGTTGTCATCTCATCATTCTCTGTGTTGTGTTGTCCTTGCATCATTCTCTGTATTGTGCTCTCATCATTCTATGTTTTGTGTTGTCATCTCATCATTCTCTGTGTTGTGTTGTCATCTAATCATTCTCTGTGTTGTGTTGTCCTTGCATCATTCTCTGTATTGTGCTCTCATCATTCTATGTTTTGTGTTGTCATCTCATCATTCTCTGTGTTGTGTTGTCATCTAATCATTCTCTGTGTTGTGTTGTCATCTAATCATTCTCTGTGTTGTGTTGTCATCTAATCATTCTCTGTGTTGTGTTGTCATCTAGTCATTCTTTGTGTTGTCATCTAATCATTCTTTGTGTTGTCATCTCATCATTCTCTGTGTTGTCATCTCATCATTCTCTGTGTTGTCCTCTCATCATTCTCTGTGTTGTCATCTCATCATTCTCTGTGTTGTCATCTCATCATTCTCTGTGTTGTCATCTCATCATTCTCTGTGTTGTCATCTCATCATTCTCTGTGTTGTCATCTCATCATTCTCTGTGTTGTCATCTCATCATTCTCTGTGTTGTGTTGTCATCTCTTCTCTGTGTTGTCATCTCATCATTCTCTGTGTTGTGTTGTCATCTAATCATTCTCTGTGTTGTGTTGTCATTTCATCATTCTTTATGTTGTCATCTCATTCTCTGTGTTGTCATCTCATCATTCTCTGTGTTGTCATCGCATTATTCTCTGTGTTGTGTTGTCATCTCATCATTCTCTGTGTTGTCATCTCATCATTCTCTGTGTTGTCCTCTCATCATTCTCTGTGTTGTCATCTGATCATTCTCTGTGTTGTCATCTCATCATTCTCTGTGTTGTCATCTGATCATTCTCTGTGTTGTCATCTCATCATTCCCTGTGTTGTCATCTCATCATTCTCTGTGTTATCATCTCATCATTCTCTGTGTTGTCATCTCTTCTCTGTGTTGTCATCTCATCATTCTCTCTGGTGTGTTGTCATCTCATCATTCTCTGTGTTGTCATCTCATCATTCTCTGTTTAGTGTCATCTCATCATTCTCTGTGTTGTGTTATCTCATCATTCTCTGTGTTGTGTTGTCATCTCATCATTCTCTGTGTTATCATCTCATCATTCTCTGTGTTGTCATTTCTTTTCTGTGTTGTCATCGCATCATTCTCTGTGTTGTGTTGTCATCTCATCATTCTCTGTGTTGTTATCTCATCATTCTCTGTGTTGTCATCTCATCGTTCTCTGTGTTGTCATCTCATAATTCTCTGTGTTGTCGTCTCATCATTCTCTGTGTTGTGTTGTCAACTCATCATTCTCTGTGTTGTCATCTCATCATTCTCTGTGTTATCATCTCATCATCCTCTGTGTTGTGTTGTCATCTCATCATTCTCTGTGTTGTGTTGTCATCTCGTCTCTGTGATGTCATCTCATCATTCTCTGTGTTGTGTTGTCATCTTTTCTCTGTGTTGTCATCTCGTCATTCTCTGTGTTTGTCATCTCATCATTCTCTGTGTTGTGTTGTCATCTCATCATTCTCTGTGTTGTGTTGTCATCTCATCATTCTCTGTGTTGTGTTGTCATCTCATCATTCTCTGTGTTGTGTTGTCATCTCATCATTCTCTGTGTTTTGTATTATATATTTTGCATCATGGCAGTGTACTCAGTGCACTCAGAGCTGACATATCTCTCATAGCTTTCAGCCTGCACTCAGAGTTGACATATCTCTCATAGCTTTCAGCCTGCACTCAGAGCTGACATATCTCTCATAGCTTTCAGCCTGCACTCAGAGCTGACATATCTCTCATAGCTTTCAGCCTGCACTCAGAGCTGACATATCTCTCATAGCTTTCAGCCTGCACTCAGAGCTGACATATCTCTCATAGCTTTCAGCCTGCACTCAGAGTTGACATATCTCTCATAGCTTTCAGCCTGCACTCAGAGCTGACATATCTCTCATAGCTTTCAGCCTGCACTCAGAGCTGACATATCTCTCATAGCTTTCAGCCTGCACTCAGAGCTGACATATCTCTCATAGCTTTCAGCCTGCACTCAGAGCTGACATATCTCTCATAGCTTTCAGCCTGCACTCAGAGTTGACATATCTCTCATAGCTTTCAGCCTGCACTCAGAGCTGACATATCTCTCATAGCTTTCAGCCTGCACTCAGAGTTGACATATCTCTCATAGCTTTTAGCCTGCACTGACAGCTGACATTTCTCATAGCTTTCAGCCTAGACTCAGAGCTGACATATCTCTTATAGCTTTCAGCCTAGACTCAGAGCTGACATATCTCTCATAGCTTTCAGCCTGCACTCAGAACTGACATATCTCTCATAGCTCTCAGCCTGCACTCAGAGCTGACATATCTCTCATAGCTTTCAGCCTGCACTCAGAGCTGACATATCTCTTATAGCTTTCAGCCTGCACTCAGAGCTGACATATCTCTCATAGCTTTAAGCCTGCACTCAGAGCTGACATATCTCTCATAGCTTTCAGTCTGCACTTTCATGTGCATTAACTCTTAGTGCTTGACCCCTGTTATCAGCCCGGAGGTAGCATTCAGAAAATCATTTTCTTTAGTGTCTGTAGTAATGACATGAAACAATGAGGTTTCTTCCTAACTCTGTAGTAAGACCTGAAACAAGGAGGTATCTTCCTGTTTGTAGTAATGACATGAAACAATGAGGTTTCTTCCTATCTCTGTAGTAATGACATGAAACAATGAGGTATCTTCCTGTTTGTAGTAATGACATGAAACAATGAGTTTTCTTCTTATCTCTAGTAATGACATGAAACAATGAGGTATCTTCCTGTCTGTAGTAATGAAATGAAACAATGAGGTATCTTCCTGTCTGTAGTAATGACATGAAACGATGAGGTATCTTCCTGTCTGTAGTAATGACATGAAACAATGAGGTATCTTCCTGTCTGTAGTAATAACATGAAACAATGAGGTATCTTCCTGTCTGTAGTAATAACATGAAACAATGAGGTATCCTCCTGTCTGTAGTAATGACATGAAACAATGAGGTATCTTTCTGTCTCTAGTAATGACATGAAACAATGAGGTTTCTTCCTATCTGTAGTAATGACATGAAACAATGAGGTTTCTTCATATCTCTGTAGTAATGACATGAAACAATGAGGTTTCATCCTGTCTGTAGTAATGACATGAAACAATGAGGTTTCTTCCTATCTCTGTAGTAATGACATGAAACAATGAGGTTTCTTCCTGTCTGTAGTAATGACATGAAACAATGAGGTTTCTTCCTGTCTGTAGTAATGACATGGAACAATGAGGTATCTTCCTGTCTGTAGTAATGACATGAAACAATGAGGTATCTTCCTGTCTGTAGTAATGACATAAAACAATGAGGTTTCTTCCTGTCTGAAGAAATGACATGAAACAAAGAGGTTTCTTCCTGTCTGTAGTAATGACATGAAACAATGAGGTATCTTCCTGTCTGTAGTAATGATATGAAATAATGAGGTATCTTCCTGTCTGTAGTAATGATATGAAATAATGAGGTTTCTTTCTGTCTAGTAATGACATGAAACAATGAGGTTTCTTCCTGTCTGTAGTAATGACATGAAACAATGAGGTTTCTTCCTGTCTGAAGTAATGACATGAAACAAGGAGGTTTCTTCCTGTTTGTAGTAATGACATGAAACAATGAGGTTTCTCTGATCCATTTTCCTCAGATCTTGTACTCAGACCTGAAGCCATCCCTGAGTTGCCTGGAGAAAATCAGCATCATCAAGACAAAGATTCAGTCAGCAGTAAAAAAGTTTGTGGCAGAAAGACAGAGACTCAAACCTTGACAGTTATGTTGTATGTTGTTTTAGCAGCCAAGACTTGTCATAGAATGTTTAGACTGCAACAAAATTGTGCTGGTTGTTTGTCAGCAAAATGATTGATTCTGTTTTATTTAATTTTACCTGGTTAGTCGTGAATATTTTCTGATGTTTTTCATCCACTGTTTTTGCTATAGTTTCACTCAGCTTAGGTTGTTATTGTGTGAGACATAGGTTGTTATTGTTTGAGACTTAGATTGTTATTGTGTGAGACTTAGGTTGTTATTGTGTGAGACTTAGATTGTTATTGTGTGAGACTTAGATTGTTATTGTGTGAGACTTAGGTTGTTATTGTGTGAGACTTAGGTTGTTATTGTGTGAGACTTAGATTGTTATTGTGTGAGACTTAGGTTGTTATTGTGTGAGACTTAGGTTGTTATTGTGTGAGACTTAGATTGTTATTGTGTGAGACTTAGGTTGTTATTGTGTGAGACTTAGGTTGTTATTGTGTGAGACTTAGATTGTTATTGTGTGAGACTTAGGTTGTTATTGTGTGAGACTTAGGTTGTTATTGTGTGAGACTTAGGTTGTTATTGTGTGAGACTTAGGTTGTTATTGTGTGAGACTTAGGTTGTTATTGTGTGAGACTTAGGTTGTTATTGTGTGAGACTTAGGTTGTTATTGTGTGACACTTAGATTGTTATTGTGTGAGACTTAGGTTGTTATTGTGTGAGACTTAGGTTGTTATTGTGTAAGACTTAGGTTGTTATTGTTTGAGACTGAAGTTGTTATTGTGTGAGACTTAGATTGTTATTGTGAGACTTAGATTGTTATTGTGTGAGACTTAGGTTGTTATTGTGTGACACTTAGGTTGTTATTGTTTGAGACTGAAGTTGTTATTGTGTGAGACTTAGATTGTTATTGTGAGACTTAGATTGTTATTGTGTGAGACTTAGGTTGTTATTGTGTGACACTTAGGTTGTTATTGTTTGAGACTGAAGTTGTTATTGTGTGAGACTTAGATTGTTATTGTGAGACTTAGATTGTTATTGTGTGAGACTTAGGTTGTTATTGTGTGACACTTAGGTTGTTATTGTTTGAGACTGAAGTTGTTATTGTGTGAGACTTAGATTGTTATTGTGAGACTTAGATTGTTATTGTGTGAGACTTAGGTTGTTTTTGTGTGAGACATAGGTTGTTATTGTGTGAGACTTAGGTTGTTTTTGTGTGAGACGTAGGTTGTTATTGTGTGAGACTTAGGTTGTTGTGTGAGATTTAGATTGTTATTGTGTGAGGCTTAGATTGTTGTGTGAGACATAGGTTGTTATTGTGTGAGACTTAGGTTGTTATTGTGTGAGACGTAGGTTGTTATTGTGTGAGACTTAGGTTGTTGTGTGAGATTTAGATTGTTATTGTGTGAGACTTAGATTGTTGTGTGAGACATAGGTTGTTATTGTGTGAGACGTAGGTTGTTATTGTGTGAGACTTAGGTTGTTGTGTGAGATTTAGATTGTTATTGTGTGAGACTTAGATTGTTGTGTGAGACATAGGTTGTTATTGTGTGAGACTTAGGTTGTTGTGTGAGATTTAGATTGTTATTGTGTGAGACTTAGATTGTTGTGTGAGACATAGGTTGTTATTGTGTGAGACGTAGGTTGTTATTGTGTGAGACTTAGGTTGTTGTGTGAGATTTAGATTGTTATTGTGTGAGACTTAGATTGTTGTGTGAGACATAGGTTGTTATTGTGTGAGACTTAGGTTGTTATTGTGTGAGACGTAGGTTGTTATTGTGTGAGACTTAGGTTGTTGTGTGAGATTTAGATTGTTATTGTGTGAGACTTAGATTGTTGTGTGAGACTTAGGTTGTTATTGTGTGAGACATAGGTTGTTATTGTGTGAGACTTAGGTTGTTATTGTGTGAGACATAGGTTGTTATTGTGTGAGACTTAGGTTGTTATTGTGTGAGACTTAGGTTGTTATTGTGTGAGACTTAGGTTGTTATTGTGTGAGACATAGGTTGTTATTGTGTGAGACATAGGTTGTTATTGTGTGAGACGTAGATTGTTATTGTGTGAGACTTAGATTGTTATTGTGTAAGACATAGGTTGTTATTGTGTGAGTCTAAGGTTGTTATTGTGTGAGTCTAAGGTTGTTATTGTGTGCGACTTAGGTTGTTACTGTGTGACATTAGGGTAGTTAATGTGTGAGTCTTAGGTTGTTATTGTGTGAGACTTAAGTTGTTATTGTGTGAGACTTAGGTTGTTATTGTGTGAGTCATAGATTGTTATTGTGTGAGACTTAGGTTGTTATTGTGTGAGACAGGTTGTTATTGTGTAAGACAGGTTGTTATTGTGTGAGTCTTAGATTGTTATTGTGTGAGACAGGTTGTTATTGTGTGAGATAGGTTGTTATTGTGTGAGTCTTAGATTGTTATTGTGTGAGATAGGTTGTTATTGTGTGAGACAGGTTGTTATTGTGTGAGATAGGTTGTTATTGTGTGAGTCATAGATTGTTATTGTGTGAGACTTAGGTTGTTATTGTGTGAGACAGGTTGTTATTGTGTAAGACAGGTTGTTATTGTGTGAGTCTTAGATTGTTATTGTGTAAGACAGGTTGTTATTGTGTGAGATAGGTTGTTATTGTGTAAGATAGGTTGTTATTGTGTGAGATAGGTTGTTATTGTGTGAGATAGGTTGTTATTGTGTGAGAAAGGTTGTTATTGTGTGAGATAGGTTGTTATTGTGTGAGATAGGTTGTTATTGTGTGAGATAGGTTGTTATTGTGTGAGATAGGTTGTTATTGTGTGAGACAGGTTGTTATTGTGTGAGATAGGTTGTTATTGTGTGAGTCTTAGATTGTTATTGTGTGAGACTTAGGTTGTTATTGTGTGAGACAGGTTGTTATTGTGTAAGACAGGTTGTTATTGTGTGAGTCTTAGATTGTTATTGTGTGAGACAGGTTGTTATTGTGTGAGATAGGTTGTTATTGTGTGAGTCTTAGATTGTTATTGTGTGAGATAGGTTGTTATTGTGTGAGACAGGTTGTTATTGTGTGAGATAGGTTGTTATTGTGTGAGTCATAGATTGTTATTGTGTGAGACTTAGGTTGTTATTGTGTGAGACAGGTTGTTATTGTGTAAGACAGGTTGTTATTGTGTGAGTCTTAGATTGTTATTGTGTAAGACAGGTTGTTATTGTGTGAGATAGGTTGTTATTGTGTAAGATAGGTTGTTATTGTGTGAGATAGGTTGTTATTGTGTGAGATAGGTTGTTATTGTGTGAGATAGGTTGTTATTGTGTGAGATAGGTTGTTATTGTGTGAGATAGGTTGTTATTGTGTGAGATAGGTTGTTATTGTGTGAGATAGGTTGTTATTGTGTGAGACATAGGTTGTTATTGTGTGAGACAGGTTGTTATTGTGTGAGACAGGTTGTTATTGTGTGAGACATAGGTTGTTATTGTGTGAGATAGATTGTTATTGTGTGAGATAGATTGTTATTGTGTGAGATAGGTTGTTATTGTGTGAGATAGATTGTTATTGTGTGAGATAGATTGTTATTGTGTGAGATAGATTGTTATTGTGTGAGATAGGTTGTTATTGTGTGAGATAGGTTGTTATTGTGTGAGACAGGTTGTTATTGTGTGAGACAGGTTGTTATTGTGTGAGTCATAGATTGTTATTGTGTGAGACTTAGGTTGTTATTGTGTGAGACTTAGGTTGTTATTGTGTGAGACAGGTTGTTATTGTGTAAGACAGGTTGTTATTGTGTGAGTCTTAGATTGTTATTGTGTAAGACAGGTTGTTATTGTGTGAGATAGGTTGTTATTGTGTAAGATAGGTTGTTATTGTGTGAGATAGGTTGTTATTGTGTGAGATAGGTTGTTATTGTGTGAGATAGGTTGTTATTGTGTGAGATAGGTTGTTATTGTGTGAGATAGGTTGTTATTGTGTGAGATAGGTTGTTATTGTGTGAGATAGGTTGTTATTGTGTGAGACATAGGTTGTTATTGTGTGAGACAGGTTGTTATTGTGTGAGACAGGTTGTTATTGTGTGAGACATAGGTTGTTATTGTGTGAGATAGATTGTTATTGTGTGAGATAGATTGTTATTGTGTGAGATAGATTGTTATTGTGTGAGATAGATTGTTATTGTGTGAGATAGATTGTTATTGTGTGAGATAGGTTGTTATTGTGTGAGACATAGGTTGTTATTGTGTGAGACATAGGTTGTTATTGTGTGAGACAGGTTGTTATTGTGTGAGACATAGGTTGTTATTGTGTGAGATAGATTGTTATTGTGTGAGATAGATTGTTATTGTGTGAGATAGATTGTTATTGTGTGAGATAGATTGTTATTGTGTGAGATAGGTTGTTATTGTGTGAGACATAGGTTGTTATTGTGTGAGACATAGGTTGTTATTGTGTGAGACATAGGTTGTTATTGTGTGAGACATAGGTTGTTATTGTGTGAGACAGGTTGTTATTGTGTGAGACATAGGTTGTTATTGTGTGAGATAGATTGTTATTGTGTGAGATAGATTGTTATTGTGTGAGATAGATTGTTATTGTGTGAGATAGATTGTTATTGTGTGAGATAGATTGTTATTGTGTGAGACAGGTTGTTAGTGTGTGAGACATAGGTTGTTATTGTGTGAGATAGATTGTTATTGTGTGAGATAGATTGTTATTGTGTGAGATAGATTGTTATTGTGTGAGATAGATTGTTATTGTGTGAGATAGATTGTTATTGTGTGAGATAGATTGTTATTGTGTGAGATAGATTGTTATTGTGTGAGATAGATTGTTATTGTGTGAGATAGATTGTTATTGTGTGAGATAGATTGTTATTGTGTGAGATAGATTGTTATTGTGTGAGACTTAGGTTGTTATTGTGTGAATTGTTTTTGTTCCCCTTAGTGAAACAAATACAAAACTACTGAATGTATAATTTCCTTGTAGAAACCTCAAACAGCTGGCAAGTGTTGATGCTGGGGTCATGGGGTCACTAACACACAGGAGTATGCTGG